AGAGAGAGAGAGAGAGAGAGAGAGAGAGAGAGAGAGAGAGAGAGAGAGAGGGAGGGAGAGAGAGGATGATCACAATCTTTCGGAGGAAAGTTATTTCCTTCTCAAGGTTCACCAGCTCCAGACATCATCTTGTTAGTCTGTTTGCACTTTGTCTGTGTGCCCTTTCTAGGAAGTAGTGGGCAGAGACGTTGTCCATCTTGCCCACTGCTTTATCCTCAGTTCCTAGAACCTGGCACATAGTAGACACTCAGGAATTTATCTCCAAAGGGGGTGTGAAGGGACTGTGCCCATGCGGGGGCAGGAAGGGAACAGTGAAATGACGGCCAAGGACAACTCACGACGGGCTTGGAACACTCTGACTTTGTCCATCTCGGACTTGGCCACGTGGAGCACCAGCTGATGCTTGCTGAAGAAATCCCTGGGGGTCTTTGTGTTCAAGGTCACCAGGGACATGTCCTGCAGGTCTGGAACGGGAAGGTGTGGCCTGAGACGCAGGCCCCTGAGACCCTGTCCCCTCTACCAGACCACCCTGTACCACGTCGCCTGGTTTTATTGTCTTTAGGCTCTTCCCAGCATTTAAAAGATGTTTTTCATTGCGGAATTAAAGCTAATCAAGTTGATGGTCTTCTCCCACTAGGATGAGCTTAGGATGTACGCTCAGCAGAGCAGGGACCCCGTTTATCTTGTTCGTTGCTCTGTCCTCAGCTCCTAGCACCTAGAAAACCTAAAACAATGACTAGCACATGGCAGGTGCTTGTTAACTATTTGTGGAATGAATGAGTGGAAAGGTTTCTCTCTGGGGCCTGAGCAGGAAGCGAAGTTTGCGAACCAGCTACAATAACAGCTGACAAAGGCGTGGGGAGAGCCCAGCTGGACAAGAGTCACGGGTTGGACAATAGTCATGGGCTTAAGGGCACTGGAGTTGGCGGGGTCTGAACCTTGGGTCTGGGTGGGCTTGGGAGAGTTATTTCAGCTCTTGGTGCCACTGTTCCCTCATTAGTAAACAGGGCTAAGAGTAGTGTCCACCCAGAGGGAAAAGTGAGGTCATCTGTATAAAGTGCTTACCACAGTGCCCGGCATCCGGGGAGTGCCCACAAAGGATACTGGCTATGTGCTTATTACTATGTGCCAGGCACTGTCCCCTGGCATCAGGCTAGGCCAACTGCCTGCAACTTAAAAATGCATCTGTATCTGTGCTATCCTAGCAACTCCCCGTGAAGGCCACAGCTGCTGTGCTGGCTGGCTGAACTCATCCGCTTAGCACCCTCCTCCAGGGCAGGTGGGCAACGTGACTTCCACCTTGGCCACAACTCAGGGGTATGCCAGCTGAGACCCTGCCCCCACCACCATCCTTGTGACCCTAAATCGGCCCTGGTGTCGGGATGCCCAGGTTCAAATCCTGAGCCTGTGACTTACTAGCTGTATGTCCTTAAGCAAGTTGCTTAAGTTCCCCATGCCTCCGTTTCCCCACCTGAAAAGTGGAGATAAGGACCGTACATCCTTCTGAGCCTTGTGTTGAAGGATCAGATGAATCAATAACTCTGAAGTGGTCAGAGCAGTGCCCAGCATGTGGCAAGGGCTTGGGGCTGCTGCTCGGGCATGAATTTGGGGCAGTACTCAGGCTTTCAATTTGAATGAGTTCAGGCTCCAGGTTTGACCCAAGCGCAGAAACTTGGGTTGGGCAGAGGGCCGGGACATGGAAACGGGCCTGAAGGAGGCACTGGGACTCAGCGTTGGTCCCAGTTCTTCTTTGACTGCTGTGTGGCCTTGGACAGGTCACTTGCCCTCTCAGGACCCTTGTCTATTCCTTCTATACAATGGACACACTAACAAGAACATGCTTCCAATAACCTTGATCTCTGAGGGCAGTTACAAGGCTCAGGACAAAGGGAGCTATAAAAAGACGAAGCTCTATTCCCATTAGCTCTTGGGGGTCTTTACCTTCTGTATTGCGAATCTTGGCATCTGCGCAGTCCATAGTGGAAGATTTCCGATGGTCTTTGTCACAGTTCACCAGCAGGATGGCGCCTTGCCCGCGAGGGCCCCAGGTCCAGGTCCTCTGTGGACACCCAGCAGAGATGGGGCACACTTAGGAACCTGGGTGTGTCCCTCCAACTCCTGGGAAAGCACGGCCACCTGTCCCTAGCACCTCAGTAGCCTGATGCACGTTATACATCTTGCTCTCACATCAAGTAATTCTTTGGTTCCGAGAGTGGATTTTTGCCTGCCCCAAAAGTCATAAGCAAATTCACCAAAACCGCAATTCACCCACTTTAAAAAAGGAGCATTTGAACAGCTTTAAAAAACTGTTGGATTGGCAAACCAAACAGATAGATATTTTTGTGCCAAGATTCTAATCTAAATAGTTACTCTTATGTAAACTCTTAATTACTCCCTCACTAAAGTACAGGTACTATTCTTAGCAGCCAGTTACTGTTTGTCCCAAGATTAAAGCAAATTATGCAGCCCCTCCCGATGGGGCCCTAATAGTGATGACGTCTTCTGTTTGTAAGAGAGCATTCGCCCTCTGGGAATGACTGCGCTTTGGGTGGGACATAAGATGGATTCCACTCCCACAGTTGTAATTCTTTCTCCCGACTTGGGCTGACCCCACAAAGGGATCGTAATCTCTTGACAGGTCATATCTTCCTAAAGTGCATACAACATAAAATTGTGCGGGCATATTTGGGGGTCTCTGGGATACTCTGAGGTTTATCCATGGACCCCTGTTAAAGCCACTCATCGCCTATCTTTCTATAACATGCATTCCTTGCCTTGAACTGGCTCCTTCCCTCCTCTGCCCCCTGCCATTTCGTCCTTTCTGTATTATTCACCCACGTGGGCAGCTTCATGGGGCTCTCTCCCACCAGTCATTAAAGCCTGGGGTAGGGGATTTTTGTGCCAGAGTCGAGACCCGCCTGCAAATTTTCTCTCTGTTCTGCTTAACTGGGCGACTGCAATTTTCCAGCAGGCCACCACATTCTCTGAAATCACAACAAGTGAACATCTAGTTTGGCAAAAGAGATGGGAAATAGGTAAACCAAAACGTTAATGGTGATTTTAATTCCCTTCTTTGGCTTGTTCTTCCTAAATTGTGTCTTACAGTTAGGATACGATACGTGAGACAGACCGCCATTCATCTCATCACCACCAGGGGGTGCCAGAGGAGGCTCCAGCGGAGTGACGGGGAGAATTGTAGGTGTCAGTCAAGGTTGAGCAGTACCTGGTCCTTCCTGGCTTTGGTCGGCTTCTCTTTGCCAGAGCGGGTGATGTCTGCGCTCAAGGAGATTTCTGAAATCCCAGCGAGTAAGAGGAGAGGGTTGGTAAGGGTACAGGGTGGGCGCACTCAGCCTGACCCCAGTGGACCATCCTGTCCTCAGGATACTATCTGCACCCAGGCATCTCTCCCTCCCCTCCATAGGAGACACAGGTTCAAAGACACCCCTGCGGCCCCCAAGAACAAGTCTGAAATTCCAACACTGACTACACTTATCCTCCTTTGGGGGGCGGGGCGTACCACAGCTGTGGTGCCAGCCAGATGCTGCATGTCCAGGGTCTCAGACCTCAAAGGTTTCAGAAAAAATTCCCAGTCACCCCAACTGGGATGTTTGGTGTGAAGTTCCTGCAAGAACACCTTGCCAGGCTCTCAAAGGCCTCTGGTCCCAACTCCAGCCCCTACTGACCTTGGGGTGGAGGACACAGTGGTCACTCCAGCCCCACCTGGCTCTTCCTTATGTGTGATGTGACTGCGCTGGGGACAAATCGTAGCCCCAAATGGCATGGTTGAGAAAGCATGTTTGTAAATCCTTCCTGCCTCATCGGAACACATGACTACACTGTCATTCTAGTGACATAGACCTGTGTGCCCAGAGTGTAATACGGCAACCTTGTGAGCTGACAGCGAGAGACTGACCCGGATGACTTTTTAAACATATCCATATCTAGGTATTCGTGTTGGGCCAGAGAGCATAGTGCTGAGTGGCCAGGACTTCCTGGCTCCTTCGCTAACCAGCTGTGTGACTTTGGGCAAGTCTGTTTACCTTTTGTGTCTCAGTCTCCTTATCTGTAAAACGGGATAATGATGGTGTCAATGTCACTGGATTGTTGTAAGGTTTAACTGTGATGTCTTAGCACAGTGCCTGGTGTAGAGTTAATGCTATATTATTATGATGATGTATTTATTATTAAAGTGTGTATTGATGGAATAAATGTGTATTAATGAATACAATTCATGAAATGAAATGAAACCTGAGGGTTTCACATGCTGTTCATATATTTAATGCACATTTCAATAATAATAAGATCATGATATTGTTCCAGATGAGATCAAGTTAGAACTGTACTGTATTTAAAAAAAATACTAAATAAATATGAGTCCAGGTAGATCGTTGATATGGTGAGAATGGTGAAGAAGGGATGTAAACAATGGAATTTGGGAATCACTAGTCTATATTATTATATAAGACAGTGTCATCATCTACTTTTTCTTATAACTAGTTGCAGTGTCAAAAAGGTATAGAGACTCATATATTGAAAATCCATGTGCCATTTTCTAAGCTGAGAAACAAAATATTAAGATGGAATATTTTCCCAGCGAACCCCCTCTCCCCAGTTGTATTTCTTTGTGGTTCACCAACTGGGGAGGGACATTTCTGAACTACCAGATATGTGACTGACTAGAAATTGTCCTTGTTCTCTGTTCAGTCTAAGGTAAGCTCCAGGCTATGGTTTCTCCAGGAGAGATGGCTTGCAGGGTTGTGTGTATGGAGAGGGGTGGGCACTCCAGGATCCCAGCCATCACTTACCCACCCCGGTGATGTAGAGCAGAGCTTGTACTGGGTTGGTCTTGGGTCCGTAGTATGAAACCTGAACCTATGAGGGCAGAAAACCACTAACGATTTCTTTTAGTCATTCAACAAACTGCTATGTGCCAGCTCAGGGCAGACTGCTTAGGAGACAAAGATGGGCAAGGAGTGCTCTCAGCCTCTAACTGCCTGGCTGTGGCCTTCATAGCACTCACCACCATCTGTAATTGTTTACCTGTATAGTATCTGATGCCCTCATCCATAGATTGTAAACTCCATAAGGGCAGCAACCTCACCTGTTTTGTTCATTTATATATCTCTAGAGCCTGGCAGTGCTAGGCATATAGTAGGTGATTATTAAACATTTGCTGAATGAATGAATTTATTCAAAGCCCTGGTCTCCATAAACCCTTGGCATCCTTCTATTGTCTGTAAGGACGCTATGGCTGGAATGAGCCATCGTGAGCTCTGCCAGGGCTGGGGCTATGGGCCAATGTAGGACAGACTGTGAATAGCTGACCTGCTGAGACCTGCACACACCTCCCACCCCGCTACACACACACAAACCCATCCCACACCACTGCCGCCACACTTACCTTCTGGTCACCTGTGCTAGAGCTGACAGCTGTCATCCTCAGGCTCACCTCCAGCCCAGGGTCCAGGGGCCACTTGGAGGAACCTGTGGGATTCTTCTTGGTTGGGGGGCTGTGGGCAACATCCACGACCACTCCTGGGGAGGCCTTGATGCTGAAGGACGTGCAGCCCTGGGGGGCAGAGCTGCGGAAGACACAGATGGGGAGGTCAGAGAGACACAGTGCGGCAGGGCCTGGCCCACCACTGCTCTCCCAGAGAGCAGCCAGTCTGACCCTGCCCATGGCAGTAAACACTGTGACATTGTCTGGCGGTCATGAGAACAGGAAGAAAGTCCTGGTGGGCTTACACTGGAACTGGAAAAGTTGCAGAGATGTGCACACCAAAGACACACACATGGATGTGTGCATAGAGTGATGTGCACACCCTGACGTGTACACTCCACAGACACACACACACAAAGGGTTGTGCTTAAGAGTCACATAGACGTCTGCTTCTGGAATTCTGGCAGATCAGTAGTACTCTGAGGGACCGTCCTCTTACAAAACAACTGGATCATGGTTAAAATATACTTTAAAAAGCGTTGCTGAGATCATAAGAAGTAAGCGAAATCTCAACGTGTGTGTGTGTGCATGAACAGAAAAAATCCATTCAAGAGGCAAAGAGTAAAGGCAATGCAGAAAAAAATTGGAGAAATAAAAGTAAGAAATAAGATGGTAAAACCAAATCCAAATATATAATCAAAATAAACATAAATTGATTAATGTTACTACTTAAAAGAGAGTTTTGGATTAGATAAACAAAATTTAGCCATATGCTATTTACAAGAGACACACCCGAAATATAAGGATCCAGAAAAGTGAAGAGTTTCTTGTTAAAAGAAAACAAGGTACATTAAGTCAATCCTAACCAAAAGAGGGCAGAGGTGGGCATATTAATATCAGACAAAACCCACACTACTAACAACACAGCAGATCACAACCTAGTAATATTCCTAAACTTGTATGCACCTAATAACATAGCCTCAAAATATATATAGGGCCGGCCGAGTGGCGCGATGGTTAAGAGCTGGCTTGGGATGCCAGAGGGCCCCGGTTCAGATCCCACATATGAGGGCCAGTGACACTGCCCTCCACAGCTAAGATGCTGAACAACAACTTGACCTGGAGCTGGGCTGCTGTGCGTTCCCGGTGATGGTGTAGGCTGCAGTCCCTGTGGCAGTGGGTTGCCATGGGCTACCGTATGTAGCCAGCAGCCGCAGTGAGCGGCTGTCCAGAAGCCGGCAACTGATCTGCCTCGCCCGGGAAGAGCGCAACGATGGTGCCAACTTGGGCCAGTGAAGCAACGTCCTCCACAACTAGACTGAAGAACAAAACGACAGCAACTTGTCTGTTCCCCTTCCCCCAATTCCCCAGCGCTGTTCCCATCCCCCCAATTCCCCAATAAAAAAATCTTAAAAAAAAATATATATATATAAAATAAACTTTGTTAGAAATATGGGGAGAAGTTGACAAATCAACCATCATGGTTAAAGATTTCAACTCTTCTTTCTCAATTAAGCAGATTAATTAAGCAAAAAATTCACAACACAATTAAGCTTGATTTACTGGACATATATGGAATTATGTACCCCACAACTAGTGAATATACATTTTCCCAAGCAAAGTGCACATGGATGACTAAAAAAATTTTAACCATGTCATTGACCATAAAGTAAGTTTCAACAAATGTTAAAGATTAGGTAACATACAAGTAGTGTACTCTTTGATCACAATCTAGGAGTTCTTAATCCAATCCAGCCCCAAAGACCCATCTTAATGGGACCCCCACCATCAAATCCTTTCCCCATCACTCCAACCAAGAGGGACTTCTTCCTTTAAAAGAGGTTTCCCCTTTGTGTAGGCAGAGTAATGGCCCTCCCAGAGATGACTACAGACTAATCCCCAAACCTGTCATACATGTATGTTACCTTAAGTGGAAAAAGAGACTTGCAAGTATGATAAGTTAAGAATCTGGAGATGGGAGATTATCTTGCACTATCTGGGTGGGTCCAATGTAACCATAAGGGCCCTTTTACGAGGAAGGCAGAAGGGTCAGAGTCAGAGACAATGGATGATGGAAGCAGAGGCCAGAGTGATGCAACTGCTGGACCGGGCACAAGCCAAGGAATGCAGGTGGCCTCTAGAAGCTGCAAAAGGCCAGGAATGGGGGCTGGCCGAGTGGCTCAACTGGTTAAGAGCTCGCTCAAGAGTTTGAGCTCTGAGCAACAGCGGTTCGATTCCCGGCCTGAGCTGATCTGCCGCTGACCTGCGAACAGGTGGCAGGATGGCTCAGCTAAAAAAAAAAAAAAAAAAAAAAAAGGCAAGGAATGGATTCTCTCCTAGAGCCTCCAGAAGGGAACACAGCTCTGCTTCCACCTTCATTTTTAGCTCTGTGAGGTTTAGCCCTGTCAGACCCATCTTTGAACTTCTGAGCTCCAGAACTGTAAGATAATACCTTGGTATTATTTTTTTTTCAGTTTTATTGAGCTATAGCATTTGTGTTATTTTAAGCAAGTAAGTCTGTGGTAACTTCTCACAGCAGTGATAGGAAACTGATACGCCTTCCCTTTCTGTGCGTCTTTTACAGTTCTCTCATTCTGCCTTAGCTGAAACCCTGCTCTCTCAAGAGATGGGATGGCTGGATTCCAGAAAGGTGACTGATCATCAAAAAACACTAGTGCTAACATCAATTTCCTCCTAAGAAATAAGAAAAAGCAAGTGACAGATTCTCATCGATGAAAAAAAAAAGCCATGGCAATTTTTGCCTTATCATGTGGCTATGAATAGAAAAAGGTGAAATACTATAAAAATGCTTTTTCACATCTGAAACAGAAAAAGTCACTGGGAGTCTAGTCAAGACGTGAGCTCACAACCAGTAGGCATATTTTTCTCCTCTTTTTCTGTTCAGAAATTCGGCATTTGGAATGTTGTTGTGTCAGTGACATTTCGGGTTTGGCACCTTCTCCTGTCCTGACGGTGGTGCCCAGGTGAAGCCTGTATGTAGCAGGTGCCTCCATTTTCATAATCATCCTGTAGATGGGGTTTTGTTATTCCTATTTTACAGATAAGGAAACTGAGGCTCAGAAGGGCACAAGTCCAAGTCACAGGACTGATAATGGCAGGCCCTGGTCCACGGGGAGCCAAGCCTGACATCATTTCTGTCACATCACAACTGCTTCTTTCTCTGCACCCATCTCGCCCTGCTGTGCCAAGGGTTTACAATGTGTCAACATTTACAAATGTCACCTTGGGCCTAGTTGAGGACTACAGACCAGGGGTTCTCTAAGTCTGATGCTCAGGAACAGCAGCACCAAAATCTCCTGGGAATTCATTAGAAATGCAGGTTCTTGGGCCCGCCCAGACCTGCTGAATTAGAAATTGGAAATTCTAGGAGTGGGGCCTGCAGTCTGGGTTTTAACACGTCCTCCAGGCGATTCCGATGCTCACTCAAGGGTGAGAACCACGGCTGTGAAAGATGCTAAGACAAGTTTGTTGAATGACCCTGAATTTGACTGGAATCTGAGGGAACCATGAAATGATGCACAGGGCAGAATAAATAGTGTTACACCCATGGCAGCGCACTGTTATTGCTATTTTCTTATCAGGAAAAGCCACAGAAGTAGGTGGAGTCGTCCTGGAGTTAATGGACTTGCAGGGCTGGAGGAGAGGAACGCCCAGGTTCCTTACTTGAGGCTCTAAGACGTGAGGAGGCTGGAAGGAGAGGACTGTCACCTCGGCTCACTCTGCCCTGGGTAGCTTCCTGCCCGGGGCAGGGAGAAGGGTGCAGACAGGTGGATCTGCCACCTGCCAGGGCTTTACAGCCACTGTCTCCAGGCCTCACAGCCGCCCTTTCTGCCAGATGGGGAAACTGAGGCTCAGAGAGGTGAGGCCCAGCTGAAAAGTGGCACCGCTAGGATTTGACTCTATGGACTTTCATACACATATGGGATTTTCCATTGTGTGGGGACCACACCCATGTGTGGTATTACAAGACAATCTGGAGCTGACTCTAGTACCTTCCGATGGCCTCTGTAGAGGCAGCACTGAGATCTTGGCCCCAGACAAGTGACATCATTCCTCCAACTCTTGCATCCAACATGTCCTTACCAACGACCACCAGTTGGGCAACACTTAGTGTCTGCCACACTCTCACGTTCAGTGGCACATGCAGTCCTTAGAGGCAATGGGGACCACCCTGCCGGACACTTGGACTGCGTTTTATAACTTAATCCTCACCAAAACCCAGCAGGGTGCGTGTTAATTTCCCCCATTTTTAAGATGGGTAAACTGAGGCCCAGAGACGCGAACAGGTTTCTCCATGCTTCCCCCTGTCACACTGAGTGGTCTCCTGTTAAGAAGGAGACCCTGGAAGAAAGAGGAGAAGCCCATTGCTGGCAGCTTCAGAATGCCCACCATCTTCTGTGGTTGGCACCTTCTAGACACCGCACGCCCATTCTGGGCCTTTTCTAAGCCCTGTGAAAGCTGCATGAGCTCCTCCAACTAGGCAGCAGTGCCCGGCGAGGCCAACCCCGCAGCACTCGGAGGCAGTATGTTCTGGGGAGGCAGGTGGGCTTAGGGTCAGATAGTCCTGGGCTCAAATCTCTTAACTTTGCCACCTTTAATTTGTGTGACCTTGGGTAGGTGGTTTCACCTCTTGAAGCCTCGGTTTACTCATCTCTACAATGGGCATGATGATAGTGTTCCCCTTGCAGGGTTTCTGTGAGGATTAGAAATCATGACAGAAGGTCCTGGCTAGAGTCATAATATCACCCTGACCCCAGCCACAACATCACAGAAAGCCCTGGACAGGTTTCCATGTTCATCTCAGGTCAGCGGAATTTTTGTTTGCATATAACCAATGTACTTCCCACTACAGGGAAAGTCACAGAATGAAAACTACAAGCCGAGTTTGTAAGAGCAGATCTGGAATAGGAGCCCGCACCCCTGTGGTCTGTCCCTGCCTCTATGACCTTGTCTTTCTAACCCCAGGGGCTCTGAGACCAGTGACAGAGGGCACGGCCTGAGCAAAGGTGTGGAGGCATGCACGTGCTGGGAGGGGGTCGAGGAGGCCTTGCTGCTGAGCAGGGCGTACCAATCCCAGCTGTGTTTTAGGAGGAGAATTCAGGCCACAGCAAGGATGGTGGCTGTGCAGGAGAGGGGCCAAAGACTCTGCTGGCTGAGGACTGCTATGAAGGGCAGGTAAGAAGCGACGGGACGGGCTGGTCCAGGGCCAGAGGAGGACCCCAGAGCCAGGCTGCATGGGTTGGAATCCTGGCTCCCTCACCTACTTGCTGTGTGGCTTCCGGTGGGTTACTTAACTTTCTCAGAGCCTCAGCTTCTCTTTCTGTAAAGTGCGAATAATAGCAACGTCTGTTGCAAGAGTTCTGGGCAGTAAGTGTGATGTAAGTGTCAGCCATTATGATTTGACATCCTGCCTCCCCTCTATGTCCTTGGAAGACATCTAGACATTGACTGCTGTTCTCCCGCTGCCTGGTTCAGGTAACGCGTGACGCTTGCAAGGAAATGCCCCAGGCATTCCTGTGGGTGCCGTTCTGGGGCCACAGATGCCCAGCCTGGGAGGGAGGGAGCCAGGGGCTGCCAGTTCTATTCCTAACAACAACAATGACGCCAATCATGTGCCCGCCGAGAGTGTTCCTAGACCGTCTCGTTTAACACAGGGATTGGCACATAGTAGGTATTCAACTGGTATTGGTTGAATGAATGAATGAATGAATGGATGAATGAACGAACAGCTACCACGGATATGCCCAGCACTGTGCTAAGTACTTAACAAACACTTTCATGGTTTTTCACATTTCACACCTTTAACCCCCCGATGAAGTGGGTATTATTCCCATTTTACAGATGAGGAAACTGAAACTCAGTTACCCAAGGCTGCCCAGTGAGCCAAGAGTAGGGCCAGGCTTCCCACCTCAGCCTCTCCCGTGTCAGAGCCTGTCTCATCACACCCACGCCATTAAGCACCCACAAAGGGAGGCTTGGCTGAGAGGTGTGGGGTGACAAACTGCACCCTGAACCAGGTATATGGCTTGTGAAGTCCAGGGTCTAGCCTTGCTTTCAAGGCATACTTGCTGTGTGGGGAGCCATGGTTACAGGTAATTCAGAGCCTTACAGACTGGCTCAGTTAATGCTTAACCTGTTTCTGCTCCTAAGGCATTGTCTCTGCCTGCACCTGGACGGTGCTTACAAGTTGCTGAGGTATGTGGTGAGGATGGCCAGTTCCTTAGGAGATACTATAGATAGATGGCTATCTGGGTTAATGGAAGAAAGTGTCCTGGGAAGCTAATTCTCTAAGGTCCCTCTGATCTTTAAGTCTCCAGTAGATAGTTAATGATCTGCTTCTGAATGAGGTAATGCATAGTTGTCCCTGCAGTGTTGCACGTACTCAACCTGCATAGATTGGTGAGGAGAAATAAACTCGGGGCTTCAGCATCAGTGAAGACCGGCCGCATCAGCATTTGTGTCTTTTTATTCATTCCCACTCCCCCCCTTCGGGTACTGATCGACTTGTGGCGGCTGGCCCGCCATATTGCTGTGTGATCTTAGGCAAGTCACAGACCCTCTCTGAGCTTCCATTGCCTCAATAATGAAAGAAGGTAGTCCCGTTTGCCCTGTAATAATTTATTTGTGGTGAGGCCCTGGAGAATCCCCACTTGTACGTGGCAAAGAACCCACTGCCTTGAGTCCGGCCATGTCTTGGGGCCACTCAGGTCTTACGTCTCCAGCTTCTGCCTGGCAGCCGCTACAGAGGTTGGAGCCTGAAGCTTGAGCCAACCACACGTCCTGTGTCATTAGAACCTGCTCATCCAGCATCCCTGGACCTGCCCCCCCGCCCCTGAGATGTCCCCACTCACCTGTAGACATCCAGATGAGTATCGGTGCCCAGCACACACACGGCATAGGTGGGCTGCTCGGGGGCCACGTGGATCACTGTACCCTGGGCCATAGTCTGGCCAGCTCGTCCCTACAGCTGCAGGAAGGCCCTGGGCTAGTTCCCTTATACCGCCCGTATACCGCCCGTTGGAGGCCATGAGTCAGCACCTGTGGTTTGCGGCCCAGCAACTTAGTCCCTCCCCATTCAGGTCCCAGGTGTGTACTCGCAGAGCTGCCCTTTGACACCATGGGTGTCAATGCCGGAATCAGTGACAAGCTGGCTTTGTCAGTTTCCCAGGAAGGGCAGAAGGCTCAGAAAGCCTGGGTGTTGGGGACGTGGAGGGTGTGGGGGGTGCAGTTCTGGGTCCTCACGCCATAACCCCATCCCTGCCTGGGGCCATGAACACCTGAATCCAGCCAACCTTGCCTAACTATGCCAAACAGGGCTGTCGGAGAAGAAAAGGCGAGAAACGCAGGGAGGTTGGAGATTTCAGCAAGAGGTCACACGCCGGGCTACACAGGCAAAGACTAACCTGTCTTGGGACAGTTCTCCCCAGGTTGAGTCACCCACATGACAACTTACTCTTCTTGGGTGTTTTCTGTGTGCTGGGCACCTTTTTCTGCACTTCACGTGGAATAACTCATTAAGACAAGCCCGTGAAGTGGGTGTTATCATTACTCCCTCATTTCATTCTTACAGCGGCTCTCTGACATCAGCACCATTATTATCCCCATTTTACAGAAGAAGAGGCTGAGGTTCAGAGAGAATACACAGCTACAAAGCTGTAGAGCCAAGATTTGAGTCAAAGGCATCCTGCTTCTGACTACAAGGTGTATTAGCTGCCCGTCCATGTGACACGAGCCCTTTCTGACTTTATCACATCTACTTCTTACTACTATACAAAGCATAAAGGGGTTTATTATTATTACCCATTTTGTAGGAGGATTGACATCTTTCTTACATTTCAATCTATGAATGCAATACGTCTCTCCATTTACTTAGATCTTTCACCGCCTTTTGTAGCTTTCAGCATTTAAGTCTTACACACTTTCTGTGAGATTGACACCTAAGTATTTCATGTTGGGGAGTGATTTTAAATAGTATTGTATTTTTATTTTTTTTAAAGATTTTTATTGGGGAATTGGGGGGATGGGAACAGTGCTGGGGAATTGGGGGAAGGGGAACAGACAAGTTGCTGTCGTTTTGTTCTTCAATCTAGTTGTGGAGGACGCCGCTTCACTGGCCCAAGTTGGCACCATCACTATGCTCTTCCTGGGTGAGGCAGATCAGTCGCCGGCTTCTGGACGGCCTCTCACTGCGGCTGCTGGCCGCTCACGCTGGCTGCTGGCTACATACGGTAGCCCATGGCAACCCACTGCCACAGGGGCTGCAGCCTACGCCGTCGCCAGCGACTCATGGCAGCCCAGCTCCAGGTTGAGCTGTTGTTCAGCATCTTAGCTGTAGAGGGCAGTGTCACTGGCCCTCATATGTGGGATCCGAACCGGGGCCCTCTGGCATCCCAAGCGAGCTCTCAACCATCGCGCCACTCGGCCGGCCCTAGTATTGTATTTTTAATTTTAGCATCTATGCCATTTAGAGGGGGCGATGGTTTATCCAGGTTCAAGTTATACCTTTCAGTAATTCCTTCATTTGCTTTGCATCTGAAACCCCTCCATGGGGCTGAGGCTAATTTCTTTCAACTAATTTCTTTACTGCCTGGTTGAATTCTGAATTCTTTCATTCTCTTTCTTCCTGGTTTATGATTATTTATCTTTTATCCAGTTGGACAGTGCAAAGCTCAGGCACTTGTCTGACACCGCCAGGGATTTCAGCAGCGAGCTGGATCCAGGAGCTGTCACGGGCTTTTGTGCAGAACGAAACCCAGCCTCCTCTCCTGACTCTCTGTAAGCGTTCTTCATCTTCTGAAGGTTTCTTAGTTTGGGTCCCTCCAGAAGGAGACTCTGAGGGAAAGATGTGAGGGGATGTAGTTTATTTGGGAGGTGCAGGATACACGGGAGGAAGTGGGAAAGTGAGAAAGGGAAGGGAGGAAGCCAGCCAGGCATTAGTGAGCTGGTTACCACGGTTACCACTTGTGAGTGACTGGAACTTAACCCATTGGGGAGCCTGAAGAGTGGTATGGAGCCCGCCCACTCCCATCGTCATTGGTTGAGGGCTGGGCATTAGTTCCCTGGCACTTCGGTCAGTGGGCTCTGGTAGCCTCAGGCAGAGTGCAGGTGCTGACACTCCGTTTGGGTCTCCATGAACTGAAGAGGGAAGGAATGGGGGTGGGGAGACATTGACTACAGGAGGGGAGGGCTGTCCCCACCCTTTCAAGGAATATAGGGGAGCTGGGGACACATTTCCTGAAAAATGCACATGGAACATTTTGCTTAGTTTGATGGGTTCATGGACCCTGGAGCTCACCTGGGGACACTGGTTTAATACCTCTCATTCCAGCGATTCTTCCTTCCTCTTTTCTCATACCCATGCACGCACGCACCCACCTCCAACAGGACATAGGCAAGGCTTTATGGACACAGCTGCCTTCCACCCACATGCACTCACGGACTCTTCCGGAGAGAGGAGGTTTGCTGATGGCATCACGGTCTGGTCACCAGTGTGTGGGTGCCCTGCTGTTCCCTGAGCTTCGGGGCTCTGGAGCAACTGGCCCCCTGGCAGCCCACCCCCAGCAGCCCTCCCTGAGGTTGGCAAATCCTCCGCTATCTTCCCCTGGGGGCCAGGATCTCCTCTTGTTCTAGCCAGTATGAGCCCTGGTGATGAGTTCGTCCCATGAGTGCGTTCAGTGGTTGCCTTTCTATCTGTGTGCGTTTCTTCAAATTGCAAAATATACCATGCATATGGAGGAGTGTGTAAACATACGGTTGTTCGTTTGCTTGTTTCTTTATTATATTAGTTTCAGGTGTACAAAACAACATAATGATTAGATATTTACATCCCTCACCAAGTGATAACCTCCCCAAGTCTACTACCCCTCTGACATCATATAAAGCTGTTACAATACCATTGACTACATTCCATATGCTTACTTTACATCCAGTGGGGAGGGGGAATATATATATATATATATATATATATATATATATACACACACACATGCACATGTGCGCGCGCGTACACACACACACACACACACACATATACGTACATGTGTATATATATGTGCTGTCAACGAAAAACATCCAGCCTAAGAGAAAGCTTAGAAGAGTTTATCTGAGCCAAACTGACAACAATTGCTGGGAAGCAAAGTCCCAATGGACTGAGAAAATGCTCCGGAAAATGGCTGTTTTGCAACTTATTTTATACATTAGAATCAAAGGAGGAGAGTTACATGAAATCCATTGGTGGTAGATTAAGGAGGTAGGAGAAAGCAAAGCGGGGAAACCTCTGGGATTGGATAAAAAGTAAAATGGAGAGACACACACTTCTTTTACATTGGTGGGCACAGCATATTTAATAGCATTTTACAGCACACAGAGATAGTATTTGGGGAACAAGATAACAATGAGGGATTTTGTAGATTCCTGCTCTGGTGTGGTGAGTTTGCCCCCTGGGGGTCTGGAAAAAGAGATGACTCTGATATTGCAAAGGTATGTTATCTTAGATGCAAAAAACCCCACAAAAACGATAGACAGGTTTAAGGTAAAGATTGACTTTTTTTTAATTAGTTTCAGGTGTACAGAACAATGCAATAGTTATCCTTTTCACCCCTCACAAAGTTCCCACATTCTACTCCACATCCTGTGACTATATGAATATATAATTATAGTTGACATACAATATTATTCACCAGCAACTTCAGAACTACAGTGCAGTGGTCAGGCCTCTACACCGTCTATGAAGTGGTTTCCCTAACAAGACATGAGTCCATCTGGCCCCCTAAAAAATATTTACAACGAGGTTGTGGGGAAAAGGGAACCCTGCTTCACTGTTGGTGGGACTGCAGACTGGTGTAGCCACTGTGGAAATCAGTACGGAGGTATCTCAAAAAACTGGAAATGGAACTACCTTATGACCCAGCAATTCCACTCTTAGGTATTTATCCAGAAAAACCCAAGACATTAATTCGAAAAAATATATTCACCCTTATGTTCATTGCAGTGCTATTTACAATAGCCAAGACTTGGAAACAATCGAAATGCCCATCGTTAGACGACTGGATTAAGAAACTATGGTATATTTACACAATGGAGTATTACTCAGCTATAAAGAAGAAGGAAATAGTACCATTTGCAACGATATGGATGGACCTAGAGAACATTATGCTAAGTGAAATGAGTCAGTCAGAGAAAGACAAATACCATATGATCTCACTTACATGTGGAATCTAAAAAACTGAATAAATGAGATTGACTTTTGTCAAGGAAGCTACAGGCCAAGGATGTGACTTCCTGCCGTGGCCCACTTTAGTTAGGAATTTCTATGTTCATGCCATCCTCTGTGGTTATTTTCAGTCTCCTGACCTTGTCAGGTTTAACATGTGGCCCCTCTTTCATCCATAATACAGACATAAACATACGCGCATATATTTAATTACCGTTGACATTCAATACTAATCTACTTCAGCTTCAGGTGCACAACCCAATGGTCAGGCATCTACACAATCTATGAAGTGATCCCCCTGGTAAGTCCAGTACCCACCTGACACCCTACATACTCTTTACAACATTATTGATTATAGTCCCCATACTGTCTTTCACCTCCCCGTGACTATTTTGTGACTACTAGTTTGTACTTTCTAATCCCTTCACCTTTCTCCCTGATTCCCCAACCCCCCCCCATCTAGCAAGCATCAGTTTTTTCTCTGTATCTCTGAGTCCATTTTGTTTGCTCATTTGTTCTGTTCTTTAGATTCCACATATAAGTGAGATCATATAGTATTTGACTTTCTCAGTCTGACTTATTTCGCTTAGCATAATGTAACATACGATTGTTATAAGGAATAATGTTAAAGTGAACACTGTGTAAACACCTCCCAGGTTAAGAAACAGGAAATCTTAGGTACCTTTGAAACTGTATGGGGACACCTCCCTCACTATATCACCCCCCCTGCTTCCTGAACTAATAATTCTGCAAATTGTTGCC